CCCCCCTTCCGGTACCGGGAGGGGCGGGGTTTAACGGGAGGGGGCGGGGCCTGTGCCCGGTGGGGGCGGGGCCTGCGGCAGAACGGCGCCCATGGCGGAGCAGCGCGTTTCGCGGTGGTATTTCGGCGGCCTCGCCTCGTCCGGGGCCGCCTGCTGCACGCACCCGCTGGATCTGCTGAAGGTGAGGGGAACACTGCGGGGAACGTGAGGGCAGCGCCGGGGAGAGCTGAGAACGAGCGCCATGGGGTGAGGGGGCTGTGAGGGATGGGAACAGGATTATAGGGGGCTTGTAGCGGGTGTGAAGGGTTGGGGAGGGGGCTAAAGGGGGGCGGCAGTGGTTGTGAGGGTCCCGGAGAGGCTGTGAGAGGATGGAGAGGAGGTTAAGGACAGTCGGACCTGGCTGKAGGGCTGGGGAGCAGCTGTGAGACCGTGGAGAGGGGGTCAGGAGCATTTGGGACTGGCTGTAGGGTCCGGGAGAGGCTGCAGTGGAGCGGGGAGTAGATCTGAGGGTTCCAGAGCGGCTGTGAGGGGACAGGGGATGACTTTGGGGACTGGAAGTGGCTGTGAGGGGACAGGGGATGACTTTGGGGACTGGAAGTGGCTGCGAGGGCGTGGGGAGCCACTGTGAGGATCCCGGAGCAGCTGAAGGATCGGCTCTGTGGGACTGGGGAACGTCTGCCAGGGGAGGGGAAGGGGGTCCTGTGAGGGTCCTGGAGCGACCCTGAGAGAGGGGATGGGGAGCTGCTCTGGAGTTCTGGGGAGCTGCTCTGGGGGTCTGGGGAGCTGCTCTGGGGGTCTGGGGAGCAGCTCTGGGAGTCCTGGAACGGCTGCGAGGGTCCCGGAGCAACTGAAGGAGCTGGGGAACATTTTAGAGAAGTGGGGAATCAGCTCTGGGGGTTGGATCTGAGGAGCTGATTCCTGTGCAGGGACACGGCCCTGGGCTGGGACAGGCTGAGGGGTCACGAGCACAGCCCAGGAGCAGGGCAAATGTTGGGTGAGTGATCCGGGGAGCTCAGGGTGCCAGCTCTAGGAGCAGTGGAGGACGCCTTGGCCGGCCCTGCCAAAYTCTGGGGCCGGTAGTGCTGGCCACTGGCCCACTGGGCTCCGAGCCCTCCGGCCAAGATGTCACCTAGGCGCCCCCATGACCCGGCATGCCTGCTCCCGACAAAGGGCGCCGCGCGCAGCCCCGTGCTGCCAGCACCCCGGATGGGGCAAATGCCAGCGCTGCCCAGAGCCCTGTGTGCCAGCCAAGTGGCAACGAGCCTGGCAGCAGGGCAGGCTGCAGAGGGGGAGGGAAGAGCCAGCCGAGGACAGGACCTGCCCTGCCYGGGGCCGTGCCCTTGGTATGGAACAGCAAGCCCTTTCCACCCCGTGTCGGGAGAGGGGAAGATGTTCCAGGCACAGTCCCAGGAGAGGAGGCAGCCCTGTGAGGGAGATTGCGCCTCCCCAGAGCTCAGCCTCGTTCAGCTGGACCAGTCTGCCCAGTGGAGGTGGCTGCCAGCCCCTGGGAGCTCGTGTGGGATGCCCTGGCAAGGTGCTAAGAAGGGGGATTAGTCTGGCACCTGCCTYTAGGTCTGTCTCAGAGCCAGCGTGGTGGCTGCGGCGTTTGGGTTTCATCCCCGTGCTGTCCTGTGTGGATATGCAGCCCTGGCATTCCTGCAGCTGTGAGCAGCAGAGCTGAAGCTGGCTGTTTTTGACGAAGCTGGCTGTTTTTGACGAAGCTGGCTGTTTTTGCCGGAGGCTTCACGCCTGAATGTTGAATACGGACCTGCTTTGGCCAAGAATTCCCCCACAGCAGGGGCTGACGCCAGGCCCGGGGAGGCACAAGAGGCCTCAGGGTCTGGCAGGGCAGGGGACGAAGGGCATTTCACTTCATCTGTGGACCTTGGCCCCAGCRAGAGGCCCTGGCCAGCCAGCCTGCCTGAGAGTCCTTGTGCCCTTCGGCCAACTGTGCTGCCACTGGCCACCCACGGGCTCTGGCCCTGCAGCAGCCAGTGGTGATCACAGCCTGGCTCGCCCCTCCCATGCCTGCCTGGCCTTCCTGCAGTCAGCAGAGCRTGTCCCTGCACGGCTCTGCCTGTCCTGCCCCTTGTCTGCCCAGGCTGCCCACAGCCTCCAGCGCTGGTCTCTGACATCCACACTCCCCTGGCTGGGATTGCAGGCAGGCCCAGCACCCTGCTGCTGTCCCATACGGGGGACAGTGGCTGTTCCCAGCGCCCTGCAGCGTGTCCCACGCCCAGCTGTGCTGTGGCTTCTGTGGTGGGAGCTGGCCCGGCTCCCCTGACAGCAGCCCTTTGCCCTTTTTATCTGCTGGGGCCTTTGACCCACGTGTTTGTCTCTGCAGCACTCGGAGCTGCTTCAGCCCCAGCTCCCATGCCCCCGTTGCCCCTGGTGATGGCGAGAAGCGCTGGGCTGTCCAGGTGGGAAGAGGAGCCCTGGCCAGCCCTGGGGTTCTCTTCCTGCCTGTGGGGAGGAGGGGAAGGGGCTCTGGAGGCTTGCTGCCTTGCATGGCTCACTGGCCTGGCTGCATGCCTTTGAGCAAACCCACAGTGGCCACTCACTCAGACACACTGCTGGACACACACGCACACAAACACACACACACACACACTGCTGGATACACACAACCACATACACACACACACTCACACACACACACACATGGACACACACACCCACACACACACACTGCTGGACACACACACACAAACACACACTGCTGGACACACCCACACACACACTGCTGGACACACACACTGCTGGACACACCCACACACCTTCTGCCACCCCGCCCTTCTCTGCAGAGCAGGTGCCACCGCTCACCTCAGGGCCTGCTGTTGAGGGCAGGTGCCTGGACACTCCCCTTTCCTGCTGCCTCCACCCCTCTGGTGCCGGGCTGGAACAGTCTCCAGGTCCTGCTCGTGTGGGGAGCACAGAGCTGTTGCTGTTGGTGTCCTGTGCAAGTGCAGTGAACGTGACACAAGCTGCAATCCGTGCCTGTCCCTGCTCGGTGCGCTGCCATCCCTGCCCAGCCTGTGCTGGGCTCACCCTCTGCACTCTGTCCCAGGTGCACTTGCAGACGCAGCAGGAGGTGAAGATGAGGATGATGGGGATGGCSATGCACGTGATCCGCAATGACGGGGTCCTGGCTCTGTACAAYGGGCTCAGTGCCTCTCTGTGCCGCCAGGTGAGTGCACAGCTCCTGCTCACGGGCTGCAGCTCACGCGCTGCCCTGTGCCCGCCACAGCTGCTCATTTCACCCTCATCCAGATGACATATTCCTTGACTCGYTTTGGCATCTATGAGACTGCAAGGAACCACCTGGGCCAGGGCAGGCAGGGGCCTCCCCCSTTTTACCAGAAAGTGCTGTTGGCTGCCGCAGGAGGTGAGCCAGGCAGGGGGGCTCTTGGCTCTGGCTCCCTCAGGGTGGATAAGCCCCTGACACAACTCTTCTTTGGCCACAGGTTTCACTGGTGGGTTTGTAGGGACCCCAGCGGATATGGTGAATGTCAGGTCAGTTCTGCCTGCATGACTGGGGCTTTTGGGCAGTACCCGACAGCATTTGGGATGATGGGTGGTGCTAGGGTGCTCCCAACATCTCTCCTGGCCAGCCTGCCCCACCACTGGTGAGCCAGGAGCTCTGTGTCCAGCATGGCCAGAGCTGTTCTGCTGCTCGGTGATAACCCACAGCGCAGTGTGACCCTCGGGGGAGTGGGCCTGGAGGCAATTTTCTTGTTCCTTTGTAAACAAACAAGACAATTCCACTGCCCTGGAGCGGGGTCCCCAGACCTGCGGGGACAGTGGGGTACCGGCCCCCCGTCACCCGCGCTGCTCTGCCTTCCAGGATGCAGAACGACATGAAGCAGCCGCCGGCTCAGCGGCGCAAGTGAGTGAGCGAGAGAGGGGAGCCGGGCGGAGGGACGGGAGAGGGACGGGAGAGGGACGGGAGAGGGACGGGAGGGATCGGCGCTCCCGGGACCGGGGGACCGCGTGTCCGCGCGGGGGCAGCACCGGGAGCGGCACCGGGAACGGCACCGGGAACGGCACCGGCACCGGGAGCGGCACCGGGAGCTTTGTCTGGGCCGAGGCGCCCCCGGGAGCTGCCGGTGTGCGGGGGAGCGGCGGGGCTGCCGCGGCGCTGGGGAGCCTCGGGCCCTGACCCCTTCCCCTCTGCTCCTTGCAGTTATTCCCATGCCCTGGATGGCATGTACCGTGTCCTCCGGGAAGGTGAGGCCGTGCCAGCCGTGTGGGTGAGCCTGCTCCGGTGTCCTAGCAGGTGCCGGGGCTGGGCTTTTCCTGGGATTTCGCTCAGCCAGGGCAGGGAGAGGGGCTCGGGGATGCCCTTGAGGCTGGGGGAGTCCAGGGGAGCACAGGCTTGGCACTGCTGCACCATCTGGCTGGGGCAGGGGCTGGGCAGGGTCTGGCAGGGCCTGGCAGCCCGTGGGAAAGGGAAAGGGAAAAGCTTGGTGGGAAAGAGTGACCTGCTAGCAGCCATAATAGAAAAACGCAGGAGCGTGGAACAGAGCATGAATGGAGGCAGGGAAGCGGTCATGCTGTTTTGAAGGATTTCCCTACTCCTGCAGCCTGTTTGCTATGTTGTGCATCAAGCAGAGCTGTGTGAGGAGTTGGGGACATCCACGTGGGTATGGAAGAAGGCTCCAGGGGGAATGGAATGTGAGTGATGGCAGAGAACTGTGCTGATCCCAATCTGTCTGTCCATAGAGGGGCTGAAGAAACTCTTCTCAGGAGCATCGGCRGCATCCTGCCGCGGGGCCCTCGTTACTGTTGGGCAGGTAGGACAGCTCTGCTGGGCAGTAGGTGACTGGGGCAGGGACTAGGATAGTCCCTGGTGTGGCAGGGAAGGGGGAGCAAGTCACTGATTCACCGTGTCTCTGCAGCTTTCCTGTTATGACCAGGCCAAGCAGTTGGTTCTCGCAACTGGATTGCTGTCAGACAACGTCTTCACTCACTTCCTGTCCAGCTTCATCGCTGTGAGCAGAGCTGGGGCCGGGGGGGCAGAGCTGGGGCTGGGTTTGCCTGCWGCCAGTCTCAAGGTGCCAGGCTGGGGCTCCCAGAGCTGCCACTCGTGGCTCTGACAGAGCAGGGCTGGCACAATGGCCCCAGGAGGCTCCTGCTCTGGAGCCGGGTCCCCTGGCATGTCTCTGAGTGTCTCCAGTGACCACAGCAGTTGCTGGCACCGAGGTCTCCTGACTTGACTGACTCTCTGCAGGGCGGGTGTGCCACATTCCTGTGCCAGCCCCTGGATGTGCTCAAGACCCGCCTCATGAACTCGCACGGAGAGTACCGGGTGAGCCACCCACCGTGTCCCCCTTGCTGCTGCTGTCCTCCCCTTCCCAGCCCTTCCCACCTCATCCCCAACCCTCTCACTGCAGGGCATCACYCACTGTGCCATGGAAACTGCCAAGCTTGGACCCCTTGCCTTCTACAAGGTACCAGCTGATGGTATATGGGGTGGGGGAGGTTGGGCCAAACTGGGAGCAAGAGGCTGCAATCCAGAATGGTCCTGGGCCAGGGGGCTTTCCAGGCTCTGCTGTGGCAAACCCGGCTGCTTCCTGTGCCAGGCCTTGGTCTGCCTGGCCCAAGCTTGGCCCCAAGGTATTGCAAGCCCTGGCCTCAGTGGGATTTAGGCTGGGCCCGGGCACCACAGCTGTGGCCCTTGGCACCCATCGAGCTCCTAAAGAGCAGTGCAGGTGCCAGGATTGATGTTGGAGCAGAGGGGCTGCACTGAGATCTGTGTGCACCACAGTGGACATGGGGCTGCACTGAGATCTGTGTGCACCCTGGAGGACATGGGGCAGCAGCACCTCCTCTGCAGCCCACAGTGTGTGCCCAGCCAGGGTTGGCACCCACCTGTGCCAGGGTTGAGCTGTGGGACTCCAGTGGCAGGCACACACTGACTCTCCCTGTTCTTGCTGCTCCTTCCAGGGCTTCGTTCCTGCTGCTGTCCGCCTCGTTCCTCAGACTGTCCTCACCTTTCTCTTCCTGGAGCAGCTGCGCAAATATTTTGGGATCAAAGTGACCACCTGAGTCAGAGGGACAGGACCCTGCCTTGCCCCAGGGGGGTGAGCGTGTGGGTCACCCCCAAGATCCCAGAACCCCCTCTCTGCTCTCTGGGGCCAGTGCCATTCCCCTCCTCTTGACCCCACTCCTGTGCCTTGCCAGCACCTGTGGCCAATSCACCCCAAACTCTGATCTCCTCTCACCCCCATTCTCAGCATCTCCATTACCTCTGCACTACTGCTTTCGGGGTTTCTGTGGGTTTTTTTTTCCTATCTTCCCACTGCCCTACTGATGCTGAGTTCTGTCCTTGCCCTCCCTCATCCTTGTCTCTGACGTGCCCCAGAAGCAAGACTGTGCTATCTCAGGGAGGAGGGAGATCAGATGCCTGTCTTTGTACCTCATCACAGAATCCATGGGGCTGTGGGGCTGGGGTTGGGGCAGTGTGTGTGAGGCCCTGTCCTCCCTCAGTGCCTTTAGCCCCTGTGCTTCCCCGTAACCCCAGCACTGCCTGCACCTCCTGCCCTTCTGGCCTCCCACCCCCTGCTTCTGCTTGGCCAAATCTCTCCAGYGCTGCTGGGCTCTTCAGGGATTGTGCCTCATGCCAATGATAGTGGGGAGCGTGGTCTGGCTCTGGCAGGGCCTGGCAATGCCCGCTCGGGGACCCCGCACTCGCTCACCACAGTGCACCTACCCCACACTGAATCC